GTCCCGTTATCCGGTAATTAACCAATTACCCGTATAATTAAGAATTATCTCAAATTACTTAAAATTTTATTTATTTTTAATATACTTTATACATCGTACTACCGTGGTTATATGGTACCCTGCATGGTACTAGTTCATAATTGTCGAATTTTATCACTCGACCCGTATTTTATCCCAAATCGGCCACCTTACACGAAACTCATTTTCTTTAATTCGTGTACCCTTTGACCTTCATGACACTTATTTATCGCTTGTTTTAAATAGCATAAATAAGTTAACCTCAAGATAATCTCACTCCCGAGTCCACGAACGGTTAACTGAAGACGAAACTTTAACTTATGAAAACACGAGATATAACAGGTCAGCCGGTCGAGGAGGCGACCTAGGAAACTGAGCAGGATATGCGCAACTGTTACCCTCATCTTTTCACTACTTCAGGTATGTCTCTATGCTTGTTCGAGGACAAATGAATGTTTTAAGAGGGGGAGGATGTAATGACCCGACTGGTCATTTTAAGAATTAACGTCCCGATCCCATTAAATGCTTTCTCCGTGTTTGTTTCTGCTATTGTGAGTTGTCGGGGGGATTCGTTTTAAGTTTTGGAGTGTTTTGGGACACTTAGTCCCCTATGAGAGTTGAAGCTATAGAATTTGGATCGTAGTCGGAACAGTGTGAAGATGGTATCGAAATAGAATTTCGTCGATTCTGTTAGCTCCATTGGGTGATTTAGGGCTTAGAGGCGTATTCGGATTGTGTTTTAGAGGTCCGTAGCTTATTTAGGCTTAGAATACCAAAAGTTAAAATTTTGAAGTTTTCGGATCGATAGTGAGATTTTGATATCGGGGTCGAAATCCGATTCTGAAAGTTGAAATCGCTCCGTAGTATTGAATGAGACTTGTGTGCAAAATTTGGGGTCAATCGGACTTGGTTTGGTTGGTTTCGACATCGGTTGTAGAATTCTTGAAATTTCAAGTTATTTAGGTTTGGAATGGAGGGTAATTCAAGGTTTTAGAGTTGTTTGATATGATTCGAGGGTTGGACTAAGTTCGCATGATGTTTTAGGATTGGTTAGCATATTTAGTTGAGGTCCCAAGGACCTCGGGTGAGTTTCTGATGCTTAACTGATTTGAATTTGGACTTAGGCAAAATCTGAGGTGGCTGAACCTGTCATAACCGCACCTGCGTGTGTGGGACCGCAGGTGCGGCACCACAAAAGCGGTTTGGGAACCGCAAGTACGATCTGAGGCACAAGTGAAGCTAGTCGCAGATGCGGCTCAAGGACCGCAGAAGCGGACCACATCTGCGAGTATAGGGTCGCAGGTGCGATTTTTGGCCGTTTAATGAAAATCTACAGGTGTGGAGTAGGAGCCGCAGGAGCTGGACCGCAAGTGCGGTTAACCCCTCGCAGATGTGGAAATCGCTGGGCAGAAAAAGAGGAATTTGAGGATTTGAGTTCATAAGTTGGAAAATCGAATTGGAGCTCGGTAGAGGGCGATTTTTGGAGAGATTTTGAAGAAGGTAGATTGGGTAATGAATCCTAACTCTAATTTGGTTCTAATACATTAATCTATTATTAGTTTTATCATTTAATTTCGGGATTTGAATGAAAAATTGGGAAAAAGTTGAGAAAAGTTCTTAGGCCTAATTTTGCGATTTTTATCGAGGTTTTGGTATCGGATTTGAGTAATTTTGGTATGGTTAGACTCGTGAGTGAATGTGTGTTCATAATTTATGATTTTTACCCGATTCTTAGACGTGGGCCCGAGGAGGATTTTTGGGCGTTTTTCTATTTTCTTACCTTAGCTTCGATTCCTTTAGCTAAATTCTATTTTGTTTGCAGTTATATTTACATTATGAAGTTTATTTGAATAGATTTGGGACACTCAGAGTTGGATACTCATGGCAAGAGTGTGGTTGCGGATTTATTTTGAGCTGGTTCGAGGTAAGTGGCTTGCCTAACCTTATGTGGGGGAACTCCCCTTAGGATTTTGGTACTGTTGTTATATGAGTGCCGTGTACGTGAGGTGACGAGTGCGTACACGTGCTAATTATTGAAAAACCCCGTTTTCATTAAGTAAATATCTATGTCTTCTTGTAATTGAGCAATACTTGTACTTGAAGCCTCTTGTTTAGTTTAAGAAAAGCATGCTTATGTGAATTAATTGTCTTACTTGCTTTAGCTGCTTACTTGTATTTTTGTGCAGCATATTTAGAGTAAAATTCCTGTTTATTCTCGAATAGAAGTGTAAATTCTTTCTGGAGACTGTTGTGTGTTTACTTCAGGACTACGGGACGATTTTTCCCAGGAGATCATCCTGCATGTTTATTTTGGGACTACGGATCGGTATTCCCGAAGATCCCCTGCACTTTTACATTTGGGACTACGGGACGACACCCGAGAGATTCCCCTGTACTGGATATTTACTTTGGGGCTACGGACTGGTATTCCGGGAGTTTCCCCTACATATTTATGATTCAGACTACAGGACGATATCTTGGGAGATCCTCTGTACATTTACGTTTAGGACTACGGGACGATATCTTGGGAGATCCTCTGTTGCTATCTCTGTATACTGAGTATATTCTGTCTGTGATTTTACTCTTTATCGACTGTTAGTATTTTTAATTATACTGTCGCACTTCATACTGTTTTACCTTATCTTTTATATATATATATATATATATATATATATATATATAGAGAGAGAGAGAGAGAGAGAGAGAGGCCCTGACCTTCCTCGTCACTACCGCCCGAGGTTAGGCTTGACACTTACTGGGTATCGCTATGGTGTACTCATGCCTTTTCCTGCACATATTTTTCGTGTGCAGATCCAGGTTCTTCTGCTCAACTGTTCTATCAGTGAGGCGGGCGACATAAGAGACTTCAAGGTATATCTGCCGCGTCCGCAGACCTAGAAATCCCTCTCTATTCTCCCATACAGCTTTAGACTTCCTGTATTTTCTTTTGATTAGACATTCTGGAGTTGGAACACTATGTAGTATTATAGCTTGTGATTTCATGAGATTCTAGGTTTTGGGAGTTGATTTGGTTTGGAGAGTTGTATATACCGAGCGGCATCTTAAACGCTTTTATTATGTTTTATTCCGCAGTTTTTGCTAGTTTCATATTTTGTTTCCTTTTTCCGCAATTTATTAGGCTTACCTAGGCATAGAGACTAGGTACCGTCACGACAGTTCACGGAGGGAAAACTTGGGTCGTGACATTTTTATAAGATTATTTTTTTGTTTTATATTTTTACTTTATATTAATATAAATTACGATAGTTATACAAAATACAAAAAAAAATAACACTAACCCGGCTCGGCCGGCCCCTTAGACCCGTAACTCTTTCGGTTCATTTTTTTACTCGGATGGACCCGGACCCGTTAAGCCCGGTTTTGAATAACCCGTAACCAACCCGAATTGGAAACCGATCGTCACCTTTTTTCCCAACCCGACCCGGCCCGACCCACCCGTTAAACACCCATAGAGTAAATGTTGTGTTAGGACATCTATTTTTACTTATAGTATTTCTTCAAAAACTGTAATCTGAATTGCTATGTTGCGGAAACTATATTTTACTAGTAATTTTAGTCTGAAAACTACATCATTTGAGGATCCATGAAATTTTGACAAGTACTTAGTTTGTCCAAGTTATGAAAGAAGTAATGCTAGTTAACCTAAATTTGGAGCTTATTAAGCGAACTTTAACCCTAAAATACAGGTTTCATTTCAAAATAACACTTTTCTTCAATATCATATTAAAGTGCGAAGTTATAGTCAAAGGATAATCTCATAAGTTAAATAATAAAAATGATTTATAAAATTATGTTATGGATATATTTTTAAGATGTTTATAGTATAAAACTTTGAAAAGCTTTATTTTTACAAAGAAGCATTTGAAATATTAGATTTAAAACTACTTACTTTCTAGAGCAGATTCCAACTTTAACGGATCAAATTCTCCGCCCAATCAATATATAGCACGGGCTAGCCAGTTTTCGAATTAATCATTGAAAAATAGCCAGCATTTTTAAAGTCATTGAAAAATAACCACTATTTTGCTACAACACAGAAAATTCCAACATAATATATTGGAGATCCGTGCACCTGTGTATAAACTTCCAGCATATTATGCTGGAACTCCAACACGCGGAAAGTTCCAGCATAATATACTGGAGATTGGAGCGTCTGTGTATGAACTTCCAGCATATTATGCTGGAACTCCAACACGCGGAAAGTTCCAGCATACCACTATTTTGCTACAACACAAAAAATTCCAACATAATATATTGGAGATCCGTGCACCTGTGTATATACTTCCAGCATATTATGCTGGAACTCCAACACGCGGAAAGTTCCAGCATAATATACTGGAGATTGGAGCGTCTGTGTATGAACTTCCAGCATATTATGCTGGAACTCCAACACGCGGAAAGTTCCAGCATAATATACTGGAGATTGGAGCGTCTGTGTATGAACTTCCAGCATATTATGCTGGAACTGGACTTCCAGCATAATATGCTGGAGTTCCAGTATATTTATGCAGGAACTCCAGTATATGGAATTATATATTTTTCGGATTTTGAACAGTGCTTTCGTTCAAATTTATTTTTACATGAAAAGTAATTAAATTTCGATTATTTTTTAAACTGTGATTATTTTTGAATGACCACTTGTAAATCTGGCTATTTTTGAATTTCTCTCGTCAATATCTTCTCCTTAGAACCAAAGCTAGAGAGCGAAATTGGTTTTGGTTCTAGGACGTGATTCTCGTCGAATAGCTTTCTTTATCTCATCTGAGGTACTCGTGGACACCTCTGTGATCATGCTTGTCCCATACAAGAAAGCTAACAAATTTATATGAACTCAATGAAAAATCATGATAATTTATGAAGTTAAGTGATACTAATTGTAATTGATATAGCACAGCAATTAATTATGATTAAATGATAAATCTACATAAAAGTACATATAATGTACTTACTCTAGATTAAATAAAGGTAAATAAGCATATGTGACTTAATAATTTTGAGTATACCATTGATTTTATGCATATATATTGTCTTCTGTGCGAGTAGATACTAAACTATGGAATTCACCACCTATACGACCAAATACTTTTAGGTAGATAACCATTTTGTTTCAAAACATCGTGTGTTTGAATAAATTGTTAACCTTTGGTTAATCGAATAGTTAACCAAAATCCCTCCTTTGAATAAATCGTGTGTGGTTAAACTATGGAATTCCCTTCTCCTTTGTTGCTTTTTCCCTCATTATCAGAATGTACTATTATAGAGTCAAAAATACTCTTGTAATATTAGCAAATTGAAAAATAGCCAAAAGAGTTCAGAACATTTCCTAAAAGTCATCTCCACCGTAGTCACCATCGTCGTCGGCGAGATCATCCTCCACCTTCTCCGCCACGTCATCGGCGATTTTGTCCTCCAAGAGGTCGACGCCTTCCACCAACGCCACTCCACCCAATACCCCTGCTACTGCACCCACAGCCAATCCTGTCCCCATCCCCCCAAACTTGCTCTTCTTTTTCTCCTCTTCGTAACCGTACCCGCCAGATGGCTGCCCGTAGCTTCCCTCCCCATATACCGGCTGCCCGTAAGGAGGAGTTGTGGCGCTGTAAGGATAACCAGACGGAGGTGCAGTGTACGGAGCACCATAGTCCCTGCCGTAAGGTTGCGACGGGGGCGGGACACCGTACGGAGGTGCATAATACGCATCCGGTGCACGATAGCGTGGCTCTCGTACGCTAACCTCCACTTGTACCTTTCCCTGAGGCCGACCAGAAGGGCGTTTGAGCTGGAGCGTACACTCCAGCTCACCACCTATGCCAACATCATCGATGACTTTGCTAAGAGGAAGCTTAGCAGATCCGATGAGAGGCTTAGTGTCCTCGACAGCGTTCGCATGAACGATGTCGACGTACAAGGTGGAATCGTCGATCGAAGAATTCAACGGGACGACGAGTTTTTCATTCCAGTAAGGAGATGTATCGCCGTCATCGTCGACTTTAGTAGAGCATTTAGCGTTGGGATCAACCCAAACAACTGCGTACGGCTTCAGGGGACCATAACGCCAGGTGACGTTCTTCAAATCGTTGGCTGAAGTTATCTGTACTTCAACTTCGTATCGTGATCCCATTTTCACAAGGGAAATAGTACTCTAGACTCTAGGAGCTATATGTATGTACGTTGAGAAACAATAGTTAGCTAGCAGGTGTGGGTAAAAGTTGATTCTGGAGTTAAGTATTTATAGCACGTAATCCATCATATAATTGACGTTTATGAAATACAGCAACCAATGGAATTTGTTTGTCCTAAGTTCCATTTGTGTCCTTTGGTCTAAATGCTTCACATTATTTTTTCTATATGAATTATTCAAATTGTAATCGGCGAAGGAAATTTTTTTAATTTATAAATACTTCACTGAGAAGCTAAATAGCTTGCATGAGAATAATTATTACATGGAGATTTAAAAAAAGGAATTATAGTGATCAATATATTTTTGGTAAAATAATTAATTAATACATACATATAGTAACCTCTCGAATGCTTTTGGAATGGAGAAGAGAAGATTAGGAAAAAAATTTGCTGGAAAAAAAAACTGTAATAGAAAATTAGGAAAAAATTTTACTGAAAAACCATATCCAAACCAGATATTCTCACCGGTTGAATGTAGAGTTCATGAATAGAATTTTGAGTAAACGAAATAGATGCATTGAAGAATTTAAAGTCTTCTTTGAGGAGTGTAAAGGGTTCATTGAAGATTGTGATTTACATTAAAATGAGAGAGAAGGAAATGGGAACACAATTAATAACCCTAACCTTAGAAATATTCAAAACATACTATAAATACAACTACATTATTAATCTCATCATCCAAATTATGTACTCTAATTCAAAATTCTGTGAAAATAATAATAAAAAGAACCCAACAAAGAAAATTGTCGATGAACCTCTTCATGGTTCACCCATTAACCACAACATCCTCTACCAGAATGTAAGAAATAAGTTGAAAAATCTGAAGACCGAGACAAACCTACTAATGCTTAGGTTGACAAGGGAAATTGGGGCGGACTATGTGAAAAGACTTCTTCTTGGTTCATACCCTCTCACTTGTTGTTATGATATGCTTGAGGAACTGCTCGCTGAGCAGGATGAACATAATGATACTCCTATTATCGTTATAAGCAGTGACACTGAAGCCCCTCTAAGGCATCAAAATCTGTTAATCAAAAGACTGAATAGAGTAAAAGATTGGGTTTTAAGTTGTTTTGTTATGCATGCCATGTTGTTAGCATGATATGCTAAAATTATCTTCCAAATATTATTTGGAATATGTTAAAAAGTATCAATGGGCCTCAATCTACTCAGTCTTTTGATTGACAGATTTTGATGTCGTAGAGGCGACTTTGATGTCAATGCTTATAACGATATCGTTATCTTCATCCTGCTTAGCGAGCAGTTCCTCAAGCATATTATAACAACAAGTGAGAGGGTATGAATCAAGAAGAAGTCTTTTCACATAATCCGCTCCAATTTCCCTTGTCAACCTAAGCATCAGTAGGTTTGTCTCAGTCTACAAATTTTTTAACTTGTTTCTTATATCTTGGTAGAGGATGTTGTGGTTAATGGATGAACTATAAAGAGGTTCATCGATAATTTTCATTGTTGGGATTCTTTCCATTGTTATTTTCAAAAAATTTTGAATTAGAGTAGATAATTTGGATGATGATATTAATAATGTAGTTGTAACAACGAAATAGTTAGAATGGAAATTTCTTGATATCAACGTTTTTAGGCCTGGTCAGGCACAGTAATTACCTTCACCGAGAAAAATCTAGATCCCCAAGGGAAGAAACGGACAAAGGGGCCATTAGTCGGTGGCATGAAACGTATCATAACAATTAAATAAAGGTAAAGGCATGGATTAGGCTGGGGAAAACGAGTTCACTTTGACATAGGCTTTATCCAATCCTCTGGTGTGGGAGGTTTATTTTGACTATGGCTGTCCAACGGGACGGGACGTCCNATTTGGGCAAATTTTTTGGAGTAACTTTCAAGCTTCAAATTAATTCGTCAAGTATTTGGAGCAAAATTTTGGGCAATTTCTTCAAGTTTCAATATTTAATCATGGTGCACTCGTTCCATCTCCTAATTTTAATATATAATTTTTGCGTATCATTTTAGTGCTTAATTTTTGTGTTTACTTTACGTGTTATATTTTCGTATTTCATTTGTGTGTTTACTATTTGTGTTAGATTTTTTAATTTAATTTCGTATTTAAATTATGGCACATAAAAATGTATTTGGTATTTTTAAAAAAAATAGTAAAAAAAATAGTAAAGGTGAAAGTAGTAGTAATCCTAATCCTAACCTTTCTCCTAGACCTAGAATTAGAAAGCATATTGATGAAATGACTCATGTTGATGAAACTTCATTTTCCCAACCCCCCACATTTTATGATGTTCATGTCGGAGAACAATTAGATCATGAAACTTTACAAAGACAATTTGTCAATGATATTTTTTTGAGGATGAAGAAAATGAGGAAGAAGAATTAGATGAAACACCCACTAGTCCCGCAACACAAGCTCCAACTCACAGTCAATCTTAGTCTGGAGCTTAAGCCCATGTACCCCCTGTAAGGGGTAAGCCTAAGGCTGAACGTCCCAAAACATCACTTGTATGGAAATTTTTAAACATGATAAAGTCAATTATCGTGCTATATGTGAAAAATGTAAGCAAGTATTTGCACACATAACAAGTGGTGGGACAGGGGGTTTAAGTAGACACTTAATAAGGGATCACAAATCCTTATGGATACAAGCTAATATAGAAGCCGGAAAAATTATAGATCCTACCATCAGTACTGACACTCCTAGTGGATCTGGTTCTAATCAAATTCAACAACAACTTGACCCTGCTTTTGGTCATGTTTTAGTAAATATAACAAAGATACAGATCGTGAGAACTTAGCAAAAATGGTGGTTGTCTGTGTCTTACCTTTTACTTTCCCTTCTCACCCTACTTTTGTGCATTATATACAAGAAACTTATAACCCTGATTTTCAAGGTTTTCCTAAGACCACGGTTAGAAATGATGTTTTTAAATTTCAAACCGAATATCTTCAGTATATTCGTTGTGTATTTTTTCACTTAGATTGTAAAGTGTCTATCACATCTGATATAGGTCGCAGTCCTACTGATTATGATTATTTAACTGTTACATGTCATTGGGTTGATCATCACTGGAACTTGCAAAAACGTATTATTGGTTATAAATTTGTTGATTCAAAATGAACAACCATCTCTCGAAAACTGCCAAGCTAGCATATATTCTTATGTTAGATCAATGTTTGATAAATATAAATCTATGGATACAACTGGTTGTGAAATTGCTCCTTCTACTTCTAAGTCTAGAGTAGAAGTTTTATGGGAAGATATGGATGATATAACATGTTTTGATTCCTCTATTGTTGATGAACTTGGTTCTTATCTTAATCAAGGATTGAAAAATATTAAAGAAGAAGAAGGCAAGGAACAACTTTTGTCATGGTGGAGGAAGTGTGGCAAGGCTTTTCCAACACTTTCAATTATGGCCCGAGATATCCTGGCTATTCAAGCATCATCGGTAGCATCGGAGAGTGCTTTTAGCGCGGCAAGATTTCAAATTAGAGATCATAGACATTCATTAGCGGAGGACAGTCTAGAGATTTTCGTATTATTAAGAGATTGGATTAATGCAGAAAGAAGAAATCTTGGTTTTGAAAAATTAACCACTAGGGAAGAAGAAGAATACAATGAGATACTAACCACTAGGAGCGATGACGGCATGGAGAACATTAATCAACATTGCCAATTCCAGCAGAATGTCCGAGAGATATTATTGATAAGTTACAAAGAAGCTATATAGGAGCTTACAAATATTAATATGATAATTTGTAATTGGCTACTAGGAGGCCTAGTTCAAACAGAACCTTTCCTAGAAGGTGGCTGCGTAGATTATGTGATCTTCAAAAGAATTATATTTGTATTTGAGATTTGAAAGTTCTATTAATAAAATAAAAGGCTCTAAGCGTTGAATTTTATTTATGAATTGTCTTAGTTACTTAATAGTTAATACTTTGAAATTATATTAAATAAATTATAACTCTATTATAAATTTANAAAATCTAGCCGTTGCAAACTTTAAAAACATAGTAATTTTCAAAAAACTAGACGTTTTTTTTAAAAAAAAAATGCACTTAAGGCACACGAACCCGTCCCGTCCCATCCCGTTTGTTAGCGGGACGGGATGGGACGAAAGTTTCATCCCGTTTGTCCTGTCCCGTTTCGTCCCGTCCCGCCACCATCCCACTTAAATGTCGTCCCGTCCCGTCTTGTCTCATCCCGTTAATTTGGTCCCGTCCCGCTGGACAGCCATAATTTTGACGCATATTCGGTTGTTTTGACAGTGATGTTGGCTGAATTTTGTGCAAGCGGTATCCGTCAATTTTGATAGTATTATTTTATTTGAAACTGTGATCACTATTTATTTTATATTATTTTCAAACGTTGTCAGTCGGTATTCTGTATTTACATAATATTGTACCTTCTAGAAAGGAACTTTCTGTAAAGCAGTAGCAGATGATATTGCTTAGTTAAAAGTATTTCCACCACTGGTTTCAGATACGCGGTATGAACACGGTTTTCTTTATGGACCTTTTCATCTGTGTCACTTCTGATCATTTGTTTGCAAAATTGACTGGCAAATTATACAAATTGTTTTCTTTAGCTCTTCACTATGTCATTGCAAGTCTAGTTTTCCAAGGGAAGCTTGACCTTAGGTGGTGTAGTTGGTATCTGATTTGATTCCAACTATGATACTGATATGTCGTTATCCACTGCTTAACTTTTTCGATGTGGTTGTTCCAATTTTTAGGTAGAGCAAAGACGAATTCAGTGAGACGAAAAAATCAAGGAAAATTTACACCCCATAACTAACTTATACACTATATTTACTATAAACAAATACAATTTAAAATGATTATAAGAGATAATTAATTTCTGAGGCCCCCTCACATTTGAGTCCATCACACTAACCTCTGTAATTTGCAATATTACTCTTACATCCCTTATTTTAATTTTCTTGTAACATCCCTTTTAATCTATTTTTCATTATTATAAATAAAATATATTTGTCCTTTTCTAACATTAAATTCTTTCAATTAATTATTTTTATTAAAATATCATATTTCATCATGTTCTCTGATTCATTATGATTCAGTCTTATTATCATATTTACACAAAATCTTACGATAATCATTGCACTCG